TACAGATCTTATTTAGTATATATTGTTCTGAAGCTATTTCCTTGTGACACCTTAAACCAATTACTATTTTAATTGGGAACAAACTACAATTTAAGTTTAAAATAAGTTGATGGACATTTCAATTTCCGTTTTGGCTTATTGCCAATTAAAATAGTAATTATCTAGTATATATTTTTTTGGTATTTCATCTTATTTGGTCATTCTTAACTATAGACCTTTTCCGCATATAATGCAAGAACTATAATAGATCCTCCAATAGGCATGAGCTCCGCCAGGATTATTTTCAGAGAGGTGCATCTGCATCTACACATACTAGGAATAAGTATACAATATAGAACTATACATGTATAGCTATGTACTTTCTTTTCCAGCAGGAGGGTGCAATCGCATAAAATAGTGCATATTATGTCTATAGTTGCCGTAAATAAATTAAACCGGGTTAATTTTTCTATGCACACTAGATAAAATATCACTGACCAGCACTGGTTCCGTTTAAAACATGGCTGATTCCGTCTGCGTGAACGAGATGAGCATACTTATTTTTTCAAGCAGAGTGGGCATTCAGATTGTTTATATTATGTGCCTGAGTGGTAATCTGCACTTCCAAATCACACACCTATATTAAAAGTGTAACAACTCAAAAAATCACTTTTTCAAAAAATTGAAAAAACTTATTTTACTCGATTTAATAGAAGACTTAAAACCTTTTGTAAATCATATTGGAAACGAATTGGGTTAAAAAGTAGTATTTTGGTATCACTTGAGTATTAATATTGCATTATTAATAAAAAAAAAACAAGATTTTTTAACTTATTATACTTTCAAACAATGAAAACTCAGTTCCATTGCAATTAAATTAAGATGCAACACTTTAATCTAAATTTGTCAATGTGAATCACAACAAAAGCTGTAGTTATTTTATTGAAATAGACTCTCAAAAAAAGTAATTAAGTAAATTTATATTTAAAGTTCAAAATTATACTATTTACTTTAAACGAAGTATTTTATACAAAACATCTTCAAAAGCTGTTGTTGCTTTTATACAATACTGACAATAACATCAAAACTATCCACAATTAAAGAAAACTAAACTGAGATACATTACTTTAGGTCTAATCTAACACATTTTTAAAATAACTATCATAATATGTTTTCAGAATTATACTTTTTTCGAAAATATATTTTTTTTAGCATTAGGTAATGGAATTTTTTTTATTATAGAAAAGTTTCAAACCTTCTGAAAATATTTCTCCATTTACTTTAGTTTTCCTTTTTTGTATTACAGTTTAGGACATTTTATATAAAAAGGCTGCATGATTTTCCTTTTCAATACAAAGAATTTTTATATCATGCCTTCTTCTTCTTTTGGCATCATAACTCTGGATGGGTCTTTGCCTGTCTGGCTATGTCCTTCCATTCAGATCTCTCTTGTGCCCTTCTTCTCCATTGTCTTATGTTCATTGTTTTCAGGTCGTCTTCCACGTCATCCAACCATCTCGTTCTGGGCCTTCCTTTTTTTCTCCTTCCTATGGGCTTCCATTGTAACATTTAGTACACCAACTAAACTGTATTTAATTTATATATTTTATATTGATTAACAGTATGAGCAGATGCACCTCCAAATTATATTTCCAAAAAAATAAAAATAAAAATTATGTTTCAAAATTGTATTACATATTTTATTTTCTTAGAAGAAAATTTTGGATATTGGGCTATTTCATATTCCCAGTGAGAATTTTGAAATGTCTGGTTATTAAGAATGACTTTCAAAATTTGACGTTAAATAAGTAAAGTAAAAGTAAACCAAAAGTATAAAGTATTATAAATTGAAAAATTAGATAAGACTAAATTAAATATGAATTAAATAAAATCACATTAAACAAAATCTGATATAATACTACTTGCAAATTTCATAAATGCTTACAGGTTTTGTATATAATTCAAAGTTTACTGCTCGGAACAATGTAGTTGTTTTAACAGATCTTAAGCCGTCTCCAGGAGCTGGGGTTTTTTCAGACATACTAGAATTTAAATAATAATAATAGATATAAAGATTCAACAATTTAGAACATAACCCTATCTTTTTCATCAATTATGAGAGAAGGGCACAAAACGACAAAACTCAAATGACAAAATACAAAACAAAACAGAAACAGAGAACATAAACTATCTCGGTTGAGTCACAGAATAATAAACAATCAGAATGTCTCCATGGAAAATTAAGTACGCGCATCTCATTCGCGCAGACGTTCCGCCATGTTTTAGAGGGAACCAGTGTTGTTTATGTGGTGTGCATAGAAAAATTAACCCGCTTTAATTGACTTACGGCAATCATAGACATACTATACAATTATACTAACATTGTTAAATATATTAACATAAATTTAAACATAAATATAAACAATTACATAACCTCACAAATCATATGTCTGTGTCACTCTGTGTTATGTGTTTCCTAACTAAAAAAAGAAATCAGAGCAAGGGAAGAATATTCTAACAACTATCAAGAGAGATATGAAAAAATCAAAGAGCTGGCCAGAAGGTACTGCCCACAAGGTAGAAGAATAAGCAGCGTCGCATATTGGTGGACAGACAACATATAGAGGGGATAAGAAGAGGATATACTGAACTGAGAAGAAAAGTCATTAGGGACAAAAAGAACAATCATCCAGTGGAGAAAAAGGCAGAGCGGTTAAAAACTTTAAAGAAAGAACTCACAAAGAAAGGACAGAAATCATCACAAAATGACAGGAAGAGCACTAAAGGTAGATTCAGACACATCAGTCTCGTCACAGTCTCGGCGAAGAACCGGTCCTGTTTGGTCACAGAACTATCAATTATCTGACAGATGGGAAACTGTTCGTCAACTGATGAATGTGAATGCCCGCGTCATATTTCTATTAAGGAATATTTTCTATGACGGATTGTTCGGTTCGGCGCCAGGACTGTGACGAGACGTGACTGATGTGTCTGAATCGACCTTTAGGAAGCAAGAACGGCACTAAGGACGGAAGGTACCCAAACGTGACAGAATTTCGCTGGAAATAATGAAGACCATTATTAAGAAAAAGGTTGAATGGGTGAAAAATATAATGGACGACATCATTAAAATCATCATCCCTAAACCTGAGAAAGAAATATAATTGTATAGTATGTCGGACGATTTTCACATTTGGTCCCATTGAAGATAGCCTCAAATTAGCTGTCAATTAAGTTTCACAGAACGAAATATTGCGTTGGCAGTGTTGCCATGTTCTTATAATGTATATGTTATATGCTTCAAATACAAAGAGATAAAGCTTTTAAAAGGTACATTTTTATCATATTATTTTATGGATTCTGCAATTTTATACCTTATATAAAATATTAATAAAGTAATATTGGTTTCGTTTGATATGAGTTGTAATAAATTATTAGAAATTTGTTTTGGCAATTGCCCTTTGATAGGTTGGTTAGCGGATAGATTTGGCAATAGAGTCAGAACCCTTAAACCACCAGCTGCCAGATTGCAACAGATGCCTTTTAAATTTTATTATACTAACATTTTACTATTTACTGTTAAAAACTGTTTTAAAACTATTTACTTTTTCTTTTTTTCGTAATCGTTACATATTAGTTTTTAAATATCTTATTGCTTTTAATTGCTTATACTTCATCTAATTTAGATAACGACTTACGTCATTATCTACGTCAGAGATCGAAGTTGACATAGTTGCCAAAGTATAAAAAAATCCTGACTCCATTTTAAATCAAATAGATTACATAATTATTGCAAAAGTATTACCATCTCTTTACAACGACTATTTAAATTCTTACGTGACATTTTTGAAATAAAACACACTAATTTTGTTCTAAAAAGAACAGATTTTATTAAATAGTTAAAAATATAAAACAAGAGATATTCACTTTAAAATTCAAAATAATGAAGTACAAAAAGTGTCAACACCGCAACTGTCAAATAAGTGTTACCAATTTATGCCAAAATTTTACCTTCGTTCGATTACAGTTACAGTATGTTCCGAACAAATGTACTTGATAAAAACGCTTTATAATGCATTTATACAAATGAAATGAAACATATTATTGTGTATTTCTTTAAGTTAACATTACTAGAAATTTTTAAAGATTATTTCTACGCGTATATTATAAAATATGTCTAGTGGCTGTAATACCAGTGTACTCGGTAAAGTGATTCTAAAAAAGAACACACCTACACCACAGAATAATAAACATACAGAATACCCACTCTCCACGGAAAATTAAGTACGCGCATCTCCTCCGCGCAGACGTTCCGCCATGTTTTAGGAGGATTTTAAAGAAATTATGTGGTGTGCATGGAAAAATTAACCAGGTTCATTTGACTTACGGCAATCATAGACATACTATACAATTATATTAACATTGTTAAATATAATAACATAAATATAATATAATTAAACATAAATATAAACAATTACATAACCACACAAATCATATGTATGTGTCCTCCTCAAACATGGCGCGCGTGCTGAAAAACTTCAAAGGCGGCATCTGAGAGTGTCCCTTCTGATTGTTTATTATTCTGTGCCTACACCCTAAATATTTTGTGTTGGTATCATGTGACGTCACAGGCTATGACGCCGATGACGTGCATCGTTATATAAATTAGATGAAGTGTATGTTTCATTTGTAATATAAATTTCAACACTGCAAAACACCAATATTTCATTCTGTCAAACCCATTTGAAGCTAACTTCAATGGGACCAAATGTGAAAATCGTCCTAGAAAGTCTATGATTGCCGTAAGTCAATTAAACCGGGTTAATTTTTCTATGTACACCACATAAACAACACTGGTTCCTTCTAAAACATGGCGGAACGTCTGTGCGAAGGAGATGAGCTTACTTAATTTTCCATGGAGAGTGGGCGTTCTGATTGTTTATTATTCTGTGCCATGGGTGTATTCTGTGGTTGAAGTTTGTACAAAAAAAAACAAGAGGAAGAAAACAGTATACTCAAAGATGGCAGATTTAAGTTTGTTGGAAAATTCTTCAGATTTATCGAAATTAAAGGTATAATTATATTGATACACAATGATATAATTGTTTCCTAATTTAATATCTTCGATGATTTACTTAAGTAAAATTTTTTTATGGAAGTTTGTAAAGGTTATGTTATCGATTCCAGGTTCCCGATTTAAAAAAGGAGTTAAAACAGCGAGGACTGAGCACTAGCGGCAATAAAAATGAACTTATAGAGAGATTGCAAAGTGCTGTCAAATCAAATGAATCAATCAATCCCGAATCTGTAGATGATCTAGAGGAAGATTTATTAAATGTAAGCTACTTTTCTATTTCAATAATTGGCGCCAGTATATTTGGGTACCTAATTTTTTATTTCTTGGGCAACTCTACCAATCTCTTGGTAATTATTTATTGGATTGGTATAGGAGAGTATCAATTAAAATAAGTGTAGATATCTTTATTAGTAAACACATATTTATGCATGTCTTGTAAACAATGGTGACCATGTGCAAGGTTACCATGTTGCAAATGTTACATTATGTCTGGCCTATATAAAGTATTATATAATGTAATTTACCATGAAGAGTTGAAATCACCAAGGCAAGTTAATATATCGCACCTTGAAAACCATATGGCAATATCTGCAATTTTTTCGTGAAATGACCTTTGAATGCAGTCTAATAGAAAAAAAAAATCTATTTTTTAATGCTATATAGCAGCATCTACAACGAATTTTAAATTCGGCACCAGAAAGATACGTCCTTATGGCTTTTGTAAAAAAACCATTCTTATTTTTATACCATCAGGCATTATCTGCAGTTGTTGCTCTATGGTTCTAAAATAGGAACAAAACTCGGATCTATCTGGCAATATCAGCAGTTAATGCCAAATAAATGCTACATTTCCTGTGACTATGTTTATCTGTTGTTTTCATGTTGTGAGTAAACAATCGTGTTTAATTTAGTTAAACCACAGTATAAATAACAACTATACTGTGGTTAAACGTAGTAAGAAGCAATTCAAGAACCATGAACCATAGAAGATTGAATTTTCTACAATCTTATAGGTTATTTTTCGTGTAATAAATGATGTTGGATTAACCCTTTGTGGACAGACTGTACTTAAAAGTACCATAATGTTGTCAGGTCACATTTATAAACGTGTCTACATTTCACTGACAAAAATCACTAGAATTTCACTAGATTAAAAAAAAATAAATTTCTATGGACAAACATAATAAATGTTATATTTTCGCAATATTTTCAATTCAAAAGTTAAAGCCCTTAACACAAATACCAATATAATATATAACAATATCAATGCTTATTATGCAGAAGGAATTATTCCAAACAACCATAATTCAAATTTTATTTAATAAAATAAAGAACGGGAGCAAAGTGCTCACGTTATGTATTTGAAACAATTATTATATAATATTAAATAAAATTACATAAAATTTTGCGAAGAAAAATGTTCGGTGTTCGGAAATTACGCTACGTTTGGGACCATATTTAACACGGACTTTAATATAAGCTCCTTTAAGACCAAAAAAGACTTCTGCTCGCTATGTGAAAATTACAAAAATTCATTAGATAAATCTACATTAGAAGCAGCCTATAATACTCACCGTCAAGAAATGGAACTTAGTAGAAAAGAAAACGAAAATGAATCAAAATCTGCAAAATCCAACACTTGCATTACTGCCTGTTTTGACTTACAAGCCGTACTACCGACACTTTCAGGCGATATCCCCTTATTTTATTATAAAAGGAGATTATCAACATTTAATTTTACAATTTTTGACCTGGCTACAAATGCAGGACACTGCTGTCTATGTTTCGAGGGAATTGTTAATCGTGGTCTTGCAAATAACGTCGTGCCTGTTATCATTTCTGAGGAACCATGCCAGAGAACAGGAAATGATATATTCAGATAACTGCAGTGGGTAAAATAAGAATAAGTATATTGTCTGTCTTTATCTCTATGCAATACAGAAATTGCACATACCTAAAATTACCCACAAATTTTTGATAACGGGTCACTTCCAAAATGAGAAACATGCATTCTTTGATTGAGAAACAAAAAAAAGGCGTTAGGAAGAACAATTTATGTGCCTTCGCAATGTGCCACAGTAGTTCAAATAGCGAAAAAATCAGGCGAACCTTACAAAATGAATGAAATGCCTAAATCGAATATAATCTACTTTAAAAAATTTTGTAAGGAAATGGGAAACAATTATAGCGTTGACGAAGAAGGAAATCAGGTTGTCTGGAATGAGTTTGAGATGATCAAGGTGAAGAAGACACTTGAAAATAAGTTTCAGGTTAAAACAAGCTACCACGATACAGAGGTCAGAAATAGTAATATAAGGCGAAGACAACGAGGGTTGGTGGCTAATACGAAACTAAGTAAATCATATTCGAAACCACCAGGAATATCCACTTGAAAAAAAAAACAAGATCTGCTTTCACTATCTAAGGCTAATGGAGCACTACCATAGGTTTTATGCAGATTTACATGTAAACAATGGAACAGTAGAAACCAAACAAACAGATTACAATATGCGTGACTTTGATTAAGTGTTTAAACCAAAAATTTTTAATAAATAAGTACAATCTTAAATAAAAAAAACTTTTATTCGATATGAATTTTACTGTATCATTTTCCAAAATTAATATATTTTTTAAAACCATATGGCCGTATGTGCTAAAATACCTATGTCCTGAAGAGAATTTCACATACTCCTTACTGCATATAAAAATATGCAAAATTAAAGATAATTATGCTAAATACCAGGTTTGTAGCTTAATTTTTGGAATTACAGTAAATAATATTAACTTTAAAAAAAATTAAAACGCTCATAACTCAACATTATGATTTTTGCAGTTACTGCCATATGGTTTTCAAGGTGCGATATATGGCTTATACCAGGAGTACTCTTTTTCAAAATATTCATAAAATGTATATCACTGTACTGCCAGTTTTTATTTGGGTATAAATGATTATTGTATGCATGTTTGCTCAATCCCTCATCATTATTCTTTTTGCCATTATCCTGATGTGGAGTCAATTTCTCTAATTACATTTCTCCTTAAGTTTCTATCTTGGGTTATACCAATACCAATCCTCATTATTATCATATCCTACTTAAGGGGCTCCGGACGATTTTTACATTTGGTGTTTTTTTTTACTTAATTAGATGGCTTTGGTAAAGACCAATTAGCCAGTACATTTGGTGTTGAAATTTACATTACAAACGAAACATACACAATTAAAAGCAATAAGATATTTAAAAACTAATATTTAACGATTACCAAAAAAAGAAAAAGTAAATAGTGTTAAAACAGTTTTTAACAGTAAATAGTAAAATGTCAGTATAAATAATATAATTTAAAAGGCATTTGTTGCAATCTGGCAGCTGGTGGTTTGAGGGTTCTGACTCTATTGCCAAATCTATCCTCTAACCTACCAAATGGCAATTGCCAAAAAAAATTTCTGATAATTTATTACAACTAATATCAAACGAAACAAATATTACTTCATTAATATTTTATATAAGGTATAAAATTGCAGAATCCATAAAATAATATGATAAAAATGTACCTTTTAAAAGCTTTATCTCTTTGTATTTGAAGCATATAACATATACATTATAAGAACATGGCAACACTGCCAACACAATATTTCGTTCTGTGAAACTTAATTGACAGCTAACTTGAGGCTATCTTCAATGGAACGAAATGTGAAAATCTTCCAGGGGCTCCTTCATGTCTTCTGTGGTCTTTCTCTCTTACTCCTTCCAGGAACTAGCAGATCAGGAATTCTTCATATTGGGTGACTATATTTTATTTACAGTGACTACTACCAAATGAACATTCAAATTTATCAAGAGCTTGTCTCCATTCTTCCAGTTTTTGTTCTAAATATCTTTCAGTATTACATACTAACACATTATCAGCATATACTAAGCACCAGGAAATGTTACACTAGTGCTTAATGTATCTGATTAATCTCGATTATCTTATCTAATACTAATTAAAGTAAATAATGACTAAGCACTAGCCCTGATGCAACCATACTTTCACATGAAATTTATTAGTCCATCCCTCACTTGTCTTAACACTAATTGTTACCCTCTCATACATGTCTCTCACACTCTTCACATACTCACTGGGAACTCCTTCCTTGTTAAGTGCCTACCACAGAATTTCTTGAGGAACTTATATTGTCACCTCTCATCGTCAACATGTACTCAGAGGCAATTTTCCAAGAAGCTGTAGAATACACGGAAGCAGGAATACTATAAACTATGAACAAGTAAACAATTTCCGATATGCAGATGATATTTTTGCTTAAGGATTATAGTAGTTGACATTAGTAAGAAATATGTCCTAAAAGTTAGCAAAAAAACACAAAAGTTATAGTAATTAGTAAAGCAAGAATTGAAGAAGAACAATTTACTATCATCATCTGCTAGAATCTTTTTTATCATGTTCAATTCCAGGGCCCAGTCTACATGTCCTGCCCACTGCAGATGGTTCCGCTTGATTATAGTGGTAATATCTTTTCCACCAAACTTGTTGTATTATGCTTGTAGACATTCTGCAGATCAAATTTATATCTAAGCTTCCATGTTTAGTTTTTACAAACCCCTCCTTTTTTGAATGTTTTGTTTAGTACCTTTCTTTCAAAACTTGATAAAGATGATTAGTCTATTTTGGTTAGGGTTCATGCCTCTGATCTATATGTGAGAATGGGAACTATGAGTGTTCTGTCTCATACAAGGATTTTTGAGACAGACATTTGTTCGTTAAGTACTTTGATAAACCATGATAACACCTATTTGCATTTATAATTCTCCTTTTTATTTCCCTTAATGTGTTATTATTGGTGTTAACCGATGTCCCTAGATATAAAAACTCTTTAACCGCTTCATGTTTTTGGTCATTGACAATTAGGTCTGTGTCAACATTTACAGCTCTTGTGTTTGTGTTAGTGCCATGAATTTTGTTTAATTTTGATTTATTTGTAATCTCATTCGTTCTGCTACTAGCGCTAATTTGGACTGATCTATTAACAGTATATTACCATCTGTTACATATACTGCCTCAGAATATTGCTTGTTGAGAAGCTTTTTTGTAATGTCTGCCCATTGCTGTGTAGGTCTGCTGCGTTGACGCCTTGACTCAAATGACCACCATCTGCTCCATTTTGTGATCACTGATGGATATGACCAAAGAACTTTAAAATTCTGTCCGAACCTCTATGAGCTGCCGACAACGTCGGCAGAACGAAATAAAGATGGACATTTTG